TCTATGTCAGTTTCAACTCCATTCGTGGCACCATCATTACAGGCAGGAGCTAAAATAGGTGATTAGCTATTTTATACTAGTATTAACTAGAATACCTTGGCACTGAGTTTCGTTGCAGACGTTGCTCTTGCAGTCATTGTTTCCTAGGCACTGTAAGCCATCATTGCACTTGTCACAGTTTCCAGCACCACCACAGTCTTTGTCAGTTTCTATTCCATTTTGGACATCATCAGAACAGGTTGGAGCTAGAAGAGATGATGAATTAGTTTGTTTGAATCGTTACTCATTTACCTTGGCAAAATCCACCGGTGCAAACATCACTTATGCAATCATTTCTTTGTAGGCATTTCAAACCATTTTCACATTTTTGACATATTGCGCCACCACAGTCTTTGTCAGTTTCTTGCCCATTCTGGAGACCATCGGCGCAGTTGGGAAGTATAGTTGCAGCTTTGGGTGTAGATGCGGGTATTGGTGCAGCTGTAGGTTGAACTATAGATGAGAATAGTTATTTTTTGATGTTTTGTGAGGTGAAGTGTTAAGCAATTTTATTCAGTGGATAAGTATGGGAACAGGAATGGTGACCGATGATAAATTAGTCAATTAGGGAATGAAAATTGGAGTGTGAATGAATGCATTGAGAGGCCGAAAGAAGTCGGAAGTTGAATAGGGTGTCGAAAGGTTTTTGCGTTGATAGTCGAAAGTATCGAGAGTAGTCAGTGCGAGCGGCACCATTTTTATATGATTCTTAAATTAGTGATAGAGAATGATTGTGAAGGAAGTGTGGCTAGTTTTAAATCGAATGTGTCATAGTGGTTGAGACTAATTGTATTTGTCGGATGATCAGGAAGTACTTATGGTTATTTATTGCTAGGTTGTTTGGTTTTTAGGGGGTGTCTTGTCTTCACGCTTGGATTCCATGTCAGATATCGAAAAGTTTTTCCATTATGGTTGTTCGAGCAGAAGTCTTTTGAGTGCTGTAGCATGATTTGTGCTGATGAAGAATACCATTGTGTTTTGAAAGAACTTAGTGAATTAGGAAGTTTTGAAGCACGCTGTGGAAATCTTAAAAACCAGTTTGTGACGTTAAGTTTTATTTAAATTTGATTTAAATTCTTTGAAAATAGGTCCATTCTGTGCAGAATTTCTTTTCTGTATAAGAATCTGTAAGAACATTTTAGATATTCAAATATTTTTTTATTGATAAATATTAAATACTGCTCAGATCGAATCATATTGTCACAAGTAATGATTTTTCGAGTCTTATGAAGTTGCAGTTGTTATGGGTGCACTAGCGAGATTTTTCTACTGAATATATAATTTAATATGCCCTTTCTGATGAGATCATTTTCAACTTAAAACTGGATGTTTAGTAAAGGGTATTAGTGGGGATTCAGAATTTCATTTGAAAATTCTCTGATGATTTATAACTGAATCTGTTCACGATCTTCACAAAAATAGTTGCAGAAATGTTACGAAGATTTTAGCTCATTTTTGTTCAAGATCTATTCAAGATTTGTATATTTTTAGATCACAACACTAATTTCAATATCACAGTTGAATGAAATCTGAACAGTAATAAATCGAAAGATTTTTCAGATGTTTATAATGTTCTATTGAGAGTCTGATAGAATTTAGGAGGTCAGCCGAATTTTATCGTGATCATAGTAGGATCTTGACATAAACATGCAAAGAATGCCTGGCAAAATTCGGGATGGGTGTAAGGGTGTGGATATAGGAGCTTGGCATCTGTGTGAGTCTTCTATTCTTTCACATCCACATCCAACTAACAGTTCTGATTTAATATTTCCAGGATCGTTATTCAATCTTTCAGAAATCTAGCGCAAAGATACAGAAATTCTCACGGTGAAGCTGTGCTCTCTCAATCATGTACCTATGCAAATTACTTCAAATCATAATCCACTATTGATGTGTCTGGTTTTGCAGACACATTATAAAGTATTATTCAATGGTTAGTAAATGCATTTAATGCTCGAAATATAGTCTCCATTGTTATCGCTAGAGCTATCTCTTTATATATTGTTTTTAGTCGAATTCTCGAGAAATTAAAATTGTGAAGTTCATTGTTGGTGCGTATGAAAAGTTGATGAAGACAATTATTCTGTTAGTGATTGATCGGAAAGGTGTTGAAGTTTTGTTTTCTTAGAAAGAAATTACACTGCATGGTGACACGAAGTTTATTTCATATGTGACTCATGAGCTGAAAGTAGATACTCGAATATTCCTGAGATGATTAGTGTGAAAGGTGAATTTGTATGTATAAAACGAATGATTAGATGTAGAGTCGAGAGGTATGGTCTAGAAGGTTTTTGGATGATTCAGAGACTAGGTGTCGAAGAAAAGGATGTTCACAAAGAAAGATAGCTTTCTTTCTTTTCCAGAGTGAAGGATTAGAGGAAGCTATGTCTGTCTTTGGTGATGTCGAATGAGGTTTTCGTGTTTGAAGGTGATGATTGTACTAGAATATATGACAGATTTTTTCGTATTTGTTTTATTATTGAGTTAATTAGGGTATAGGCTGATTTATAAATCGATTGAGAAATTGTAAGGAAGTTTGCTGATTTCAATAAATCTAGTGATATTTTACAATTTTTGAGAAGCAGAGATAGTATTTAAAGTGGAATGGAAGTTCCGAACTAATGACATTTTTTAGCCGAGCTGTGATTGTTATAGCATAGCTCTATCAATGTTAATGGTTTAGTAGACAAATTTATTTCGCTCTATTTTAACGTGAAGTCAAACGAACGTAGGTAAGAATTAGACACGATCGATAAGATTAACTGATGTCGTAGTTCTCACCGGGATATGGAAGAAAATATGAAGGATTTTGAGAATAAGATTTTTTTTACGAGTTTGAATACCATTAAATCTTTTTGCTAATAAAGATAAGCTCTTTTGAGGATAGTTCCACTTCGCTGATAGCGCTAAATACTACTAGGAGATATTGATTTCGTATAATGTTCTTGCGAAGCTTAAAACCAATGACTTTGTCACGCACGAAACTGTATCTAATGCTTTTCAGTTAGGAATGTTGTCTCTTTTTTTCGACAAGAAAAACCTCAGTTTTCTTTATTTTGTATTTTTTCTGTCAATACGAGTGATGTGATGTGATGTCTGACTTTTACGAATCCTTTGGTAATGGATAGCTTCTCTTTCAATTTTGTTTTACAAGAAAGAGCACTTTTTTATCTTTTCCTTCGAAATACTGCGCAGATTAATCGAAAATGGTAACTAAACGCAGTAGACGAGAGCCGTTACTATTGCAACAGGCAGCTAAGATATTTTTTAGACGATATTCTGAACCTCAAGCCTCGAACATTCTTTGTGGGAATAAATTGAAGACTCCAAAGTTTGAACACTTGAATTATTGAATATTTCAGTTTTTGAACCCTTCCATTATTTAAATATTCAACCATTGCATTTGAGAAGTAATTTTTCAAGAAAAAGGATTTCTTTGACTTCTACGGTGCTATAATAAAATTACACAATTGTTTAGTAGCAAGCCTTATCGTTACTAAATAGTTTTACTGAATTTTCCTAGATTATCCCACATCACTTTGAAGAAGTAATATCTCGGTACGAAGAAATTTGTGAGCAGAAAAAGTTTATCTGATACATCAATCTTTGAATAGAAACAATTCAGCGAGTTAGCTTCTTGAGTATCTTAAACCATAAAGAATCTTCTTACCTGTCGGAACACACACATGGCTCAAAATAAACACTGTCTCAGGTCCGCTCACGACTGCCTGACAGGCAATGATGGTATCCGATGTTGGTGTAAACACATAGGCATGCTTATTAGTTGGTACTCGAATCATATTAGTAATCGTGCCCGCTCGCTTGAAGATGCACTTTATCGACTCGAAGCATGTTGTTGATCCCGGGAAGACAAAATACCAACCATACGGACAGCCAGCTGGTGGTGTTGGACAAGTGCCACATTGAAACCCTGTACTTGTCGAACCGATGTAAGTCGGCTTAAGACAAGCATTATGCGTTGCTAAAATGAAGATATTCTTTAAGTTTTTTTATTGATAAAAACTGAGAAAGTCATGAATAAAAGTAACGCTATCAAAATGCTTCAGTTTTACGTCTCTAATCCAGATTTTTTTCTAAAACTTAAAATGTAGAACAAACAAAAGGCTGAATTTTGTCAAGAAAATTCATTTTGAGAAAGAAAATAACATCACAACTGCAATTTTCTGTAGCATATTAAAATATTTTCAAAAGAAGAACTTTAAGGGGATCGCCATGGAAATCTTTGCAAGGGCGCATCTAACTATCTTGGTATTCTTCTGTTTAAGTGAATTAACTTTTAGACATGCTAGAGAACATTTCGTTTGAAGTCTCTCTAATCATTCACATGATTTCTTGATTCTCCTGAAACTTATACGACAGATGCATGTTCTGTTATCACCATCAGCATAACCTTCATATGTCACCAAAAATAGTGATATTGTCTTGAGGAAAAAGTTTTTTTCTTTCACGTGTACATATATTGGTCCAATCGAACCTATTCAATATTGGTCTTACTATCATTTTTCATTCGACTTGGAATTTTGGAAGACTACTTTAGATGAATAAGTCACTGCTATCTATACACAAACTGGATAGAGATCTACAATGATCATCCAAGATTTCAAATCGAATGAAAATTAGTATCAAAGTAAGCATTCAACAACGTTCGATTGCAAC